TAGGAGTTCACAAAATGAAATTGACTCATTTTTTTCAGCCTTTCCCTGTTGTTTTTATTACCAAGCTTTTATTATTAGGAGTTAACATGCTGGCACTGGGGGCGGCTGCCTGGTTATGACCTGCTGCCACCTGCGACACCATGTGGCCCCAAGGCTGCGCACCTGCCAGGGACTGCACAGCCACAGCAGAGGCATCTGCACCTCTGGGCCAGCTGCCAGCAGGCTGTGGCTGCACAGTTGGCCTTTGTGTGGCAGTACTGGCATGTGTGCCACTACCCAGCCATCTAGGCAACTATTGCCCGGAAAATGTTCTGAATGTGGTGACCTGCTTTGAACTGTCAAAGCATGCCCTTCTGGCCCCAAGGGGCCAGGAGGTCAGCCCCTTCCAGCTGGGTCCTGGGTGCCAGCCCTGAGCAGGGCCTTGTGCCTGGGTCCTGCCACTTGCCTCACTAGCAGGAATCCTGGTTCCCTGTGGCAGGATACCATCTCTGTCTCTCCCCAAACTCTGCTATCTGACAATTTGGTTACCATGGTCACTGCAGAGGGTAGACTCCTCTGGTCCCATCTGCTTCAGGTAACCTTGAGCTGGATACATTCCTGAGGGAGGGGGAAACCTGCTCCCTCTGCCTACATGACTGGCATCACATACCTGGGTGGTGGGGCTTAAACTCCCTATTGTTCTAAGCAATGCCAACATGACTGGGAGGGGGCTAAAGACCCTGCCAGTCTACCCGGCAACCAGTGATGCATTTCAAATTGGTTGGCTGGCAGCCAACAGTTTCTGGCCTTCATTGGATCAGGTAAATGAGGTCGCAAGGGCTATAAGTGAAGCATTGCCCAGGAGGAGGGGCAGTAGCCATGATGAAAATTCTGAGAAGCTGGACCATCTGAAGCTCTCTCTCTCTGTCTTAAAACTGATGATCAATGAACTGCCTGCCTCTAGAGGAAATCTCCACCTGCCTCTGGATGATACTAATGAGTAAGCTACCTGAGATCTAACTAGTTATATAGTTTGCAGTAACTCAGCTGCATGATCAAAGGCTACCATGCCACTGTTTGCTCTAAGGTATTTCTCTGATATTGCTCCACCCTGTATCCTATTCCAAACCTACTCCTTGTAACCAATAAAGTTCTCCTTTGTACCTAGCGTGGGAGGCTTATTGAGAGAGGGTCTAGATTATGCCTTGTGGTCCCCTTGGTTTGGCTGACTGAGGGAGACCACTAATTGTGCTTCAGACTGAGAGAAGCACCCCAAGTTCTTGCAGTGGGTCAAGTACCCTCAAGGGCTACTAGGCCTGTGTTTCCCAGGGGGCACAGGTCCAAGATCAGTCCAGACTCTGGGAGGTGGCAACATTACCCCCAGGCTTGCAGATGTGCTCCAGGAAAGGGGTCAGCTGGACATGGGGTGCCCCCAGGGAAGCACTTGGAGCCTAGAACGTGGTTGGGCACAGTGAGGTGGATGGCTCAATGCAGGAGCACCCCCTACTAGCCTGCCACATTCCCTATTTAAAAACTGTAAAATCTCTGATAAAAAAAATCCCAAAATCACTCTTTAAAATACCCCAAAATCCATGTTCTTCCACAATTAAAACAAAATACTACTATATATATATATATATATAGAGAGAGAGAGAGAGAGAGAGAGAGAGATCAGTTGGGCAATCTTTTATTGATATATTTACAATGTTAAAGCAATTTGGAAGCCTACCAGTGTCTCTATCATCATAATAAAATTAATTCTAAATATCTATATGCTTTTATGTTTGCTTTTGGTTTTCTTATCATAGAGCAGTTAGAGCTCCCCCTGACCCCTTCACTAACTAGGATGAGGGGACAGCTGCTCCTGCCAGTAGGTTTCATCCTGTCTGGCCGCTGGGCACAATGGATGTGTGATGGGAGGATGTGGGGTTTGCAGGAACAGGATGGGAAGAGGTGTGGGGGGATGTGGGTGGGTGTGTGGGTATGGAGGGGCCTTGGGTGTGTGGGTAGGTGTGGGAGGATTGGTGATGTGGGGGCGCTGTGTGGGGGGCTTCTCAGGAGGGGTGGGTCCCCTGCCCCCCCACAGGGCACAGATCCCCCACACAGCACGTGGGACTCCATCCCGCGCAGGGCCACAGGCCCCCCCACCCACACAGGCACAGCCCCCTATGTGGTGCGGGGCAACACGGCTTGACCCCGGCTGCATAGCACCCAGTGCTGCCTGTGCCACATTGCATGGGTTGGGCCACTTCCATGCATGCAGGACCCAGCCTGGCATGACAGGCAGTCCCCATGAGCAGCACAGGACCCCAGGTGACAGCCCAAGCAGCCCAGAGCTGCCCGAAGGTACACGGTGCCACACCGGGCCAGGCCCGCATGATGTGGCACAGCCAACACCAGGTGCCAGATGGCTGGGGCTGAATCACACTGGCCTGCACTGTGCAGGGGGGTGTGCCAGGAGGCCCTGAGCCCCCCACTGGCTGCTGCGGGTGGGCTGGGGGCTGGTGGGGGGGGGCAGGGCCATGCAGGGGGTATGTGGGCCCTGCTGGGGCAGGCAGGGGACCCACCCCTCCTGAGCTGCCCCCCCATGGTTCCCCATACCCTCAGAGCCCCCCACTGTCTACTTACCTGGGCCAGAGCCCGGGTCCAGGTCTCTGCAGCCTGCACCGCTCCTTGCCCTGCATGTGGAGGCAGCGTGCTATATCATTGGGGCAAGAGGCAGACATAGAGATTCCCTGGCCAGCTACCAGAGTGTCTCTTTGGAGGACCCGAGCCTCTGGTTGCCTCAGGGCATGGTCCTGGACCATACCCTGCCCCACTTTTTTTTTTATATCCAGGTATCAAATTTTGAGCCCATGTTGCATATATGCAGCGCGGGGAATATTTTTTGATCCCAGCGTGCCTCTTGCCATGTTTCAAACTGCTTTGAGACATGGCAAGAGCCATGTGTGGGCTCATCTGGACATGCCCTATTTGTTCTTGCTTCGTGCCCTGCTCATTTCTTCCTGGTGGGCTGGCAAATATGAAATACTGGTGCAATCCTATTCTGCCTATTAGATGTCAGAGCCTACACAATCTTGCACCCCAAAACATAACCATCTCACTTCAGAAAAAAATATCCAACAAGGAGCATGCAAGCTGACACCTGACTCTGTAGGCAAGTGAGGCAGGCAGTCTTCTGGGGGAAGGGAGCTTTTGGGTAGGGCCCCTCCTGACAATGTTCTCTGTAAATGTTGCTTTAGATACATAAACTGTGTAAACAGTATTGGGTACAGGGACCCAAGAACAAGATTCATGCCAGGAGGTACACATCTCACTATGCCACAATCATACTCCCTTTTGCTTACTTTGCTTCTGGCCCCATGTTTCTTTCATCCTTTTCTGTTCAGCAGCCCATCTTCAAAATGAATAGCAGAGGATGCCTTCAGCCTTGCCTAGCTGGTAGTCTGGTGGCTAGCTGCTTCCCTTGAAAGTGAGCAATCCATGTTCAACCCCCATGCCTGGCTCCTTTGGGTAGGTCACTTTTTTTCTCTAAAATGGATCACGTTTCAAGGACAGGAGCTTCCAACTTTTGACTCCAGGCCAGATCTGGGCTGCAGAGCCAGGGAGGGCTTCAACAGCAGCGGGCGGGGAGGCATCACTTGGGCAGCTACAGGGAGCCGTGACTGTGGCTCCAGCCCCGGTAGCAATGTCACAGGCCAGGTTGGAAGCCCCCATGCTCTGATCTAAGCGCCATTAAAGTGGCGCTCCTCCCACCCCTGCAAAACCATTGCTGATCCTGATCTAACATGTAAATGTATGTCAGTAATTGACACATTGACACAATGGTTTACTTACATCCATTGCTTCAAATAATCATTGCAAATATCAAATAAGAACATAGCAGAATTCAAGAAATTTTCCCTAATGGGCAAGCTCCCTCCATGCTGATGAGCTGTGCTGCAAAATTGTCCTTGATAAAATAATCATAAATACAGACAGATGTCTCCATTGCTCTTATGCAGATACATATTAAATAAGGTAAAGTTAGCTTTTTCGAAATAATGTATTAGATAGCATTTAAGTAAGAGAAAATGCCAGTGCAGTAGAACATAGTAACTGAACGACTGTCTCTTGCCACCATGCAAGTTCTAAGGGGAAAAATACACATTTAATAAAATAAATGGTGAAATAAAGCCAAGACATTTATTTTCACAGCACTATCCAATGGCATTATCCAGTCACAGCATTCATTTATCCCTTATGAAACACTCCTAAAATCAGTGGAGTTACAGCCAAAGGCATTATTTCCACATGTCTAAATGGCTGGTGATGGTTAAATCATTTTATCTGGTGGATCTTGATGCCCAATACAGTGCAAGTTGAAGTCTGATTGATTTAGTGGACCAATCTGAACTACTCATTAGTAATAATTCCATAGGGGTGCCCATTCAAAGTTTTTAATGGTACTTCACAAGCACTACTGAATTAAGCTTCTCAACACCCCATGAGGTAGGTATTTTACAAGTGGGAATACTGAGGCATAGAGAGGCAAAATGACATGCTGACATAACAAAGGTAGACTGGCAGAGCTACAAATAGAATCTGTGTTTCTTGCTTCCCATTTCTCCAATTTAATCCAATGATTTTCCTCTCTTCCTTTAGAAGAATTGATGAATGATAGCAAGTACCCTGATTTGATAGCTAAAATTGTATTTTAATGCTAATGCTCAGAAATGCATTGGTTAACTTGTGACTGTAGCTTCTGTAATGATGTCTGGAGTGTTTCTGTAGGGCTTATTGCACAATATTAATATCTTTTCTCCTTTATGCCAACACAGAACTCTTATTAGTTAACTCTTCCTAGCTTGTCACTAGACCGCCATGAAAATGTCATTACTGCTATTGTAAATTGAAAATGTTAATGCCCAATAGGCTTGTAGTGTTTTTCTTCATAATGGGATCGCAATTCATTTGGTATGTGCAGAATATTGCTAGAGATTTACTTCCTTGTACATCATCTACATTACTTGAATCCTTCCTATCAGCAAACTAGTCCATTGCTTTGTTTAATCATAGTGTTGAAACAGATTCTGACTTCAACACTGAATCATCCCACTGCAGGTCTGCCCATCCTTAGTATGTTTCAACTTGGCACCCAGATGCTGCAACTAAGAGCATCATTTCCACCGTCCACTGTGCAGGCAGATGTCCTTAAAAATTAAAGAGCAAATCAGGTGATCTGTGTCCTGCTATTGTGTAGAAAAAGTTTTGCATGTTGCTAACAGCATTAGTAGCAGTGGAAGAGGAGACAATACTGGGTGATGCATGAAATGCCATGAGTTGATGCATGCCATAGTTGTCTCAGGTTTCTACTAAGGAATTATTTGCACCTTTTAGCCAGTGGCACAGGTGTAGTTCATTGAGCTTTATCTTTAAAATGAAGCTGCACCTGCAGAGGCAACAAGTTCCAGAATGCAACTTTTGCTCTCCATGCAGAAGTCCAAGACAGGAGGATACGGAGGAGAGCTCTGCATGCTAGGTTATATTTTCTCTGTGGGCAGCACTTTTCTGTTAGGGCTGAGGGCAGAACTTGTGCTCCTGTAAGGCAGTCAAAGTTGTTCTCAAAACTGTTCTCTGCTTTGGCCCATGAAGAGAAGAACTGGAGAGCTGCTCCTGAACCAACTCCTCATTTCTGTATACTCATCATAGGGTGTAAACTGTAACCTCACACCCACTTCAGAGTGGTAAACCCTCAGGCACAGTGCATCATACGCCACAGTTGGCTTTCAAAGATACTTAAATTTCCTTGTGATCAAAACAAACCAGCTCCAGAGTCCATGCTACCTAAACTCAGTGGTATTTTGGCTTCAGTTTATCATCATTCCCCATTTTTAGTGAGAAAAATCAAGGGAATGATCACAGACTCCAAAGTGCCAGGAAGCAACATCTCTGAGAGGACTGCCTTTCATTCGACAGCTGAAACGTGCAGAGTAGTCAGTGTTTCTGAACACAGCAACATCTCACCATGGTGCTGCCTTACACCATATGAACATGGCCAGATAAACCATGTGGGCTATATAGGCCAGATTCTGTAGAGCAATTGCACAATGCTTCCACTGAAGTTAAAGGGAACTTTGCCTAAGGACTCGTGAATTTTGCCTGGTGGCTTGTTGAATGTGTGCTTCCTGAAACAGTGCCATTGTTTACAAGCCACAGAAGCAGAAAGCCAATTGCCTGAAGAGAGAGAGGTCTGATTTTACTTAGACATTTAAAAGTCAAGTATTTATTCCATATCCTAATAAAACATATTCTTTACAGGCGTCTCACCACAAACATTGGACCCTGCACTTTCATCCAGCAAATGATGCTGGGTGATTCTTCAACAGTAGCTTCCCCCTGCATGTCAGGGACCATCAACGCTGCCTAGCTCCAACAACACTTATGGCAACAGTTGGTCAGACAGAGCTGCATGTTTTCAAGTGTGAGAAATGGACATATCATAAAGCCAAGGGGAAGTGCAGCGGTGAAGTAGAGAGCAAATGACACAACAAATTCCCTGTAATGCTTTTGGGAGCAGGTACCTATTGTAGGACATAGCCAGTACTTTATTCTCCGAAGGTGCAACAGGAGAATCAGTTTTCTAGTTTATCATTCAAATTGGACTTAAAACCTCAAACAAAGTCTTGCAAATGTTTTCTGCTTCAGTCAATGCCTCTGCATATCTAGCTAAAGACAGACCAGTAGATCAAATTAAACAATATATAAGTGCCTGGAAATATTAATCTTGAGTATTTATCAATTGCATGAGTGTTCTGCATGATGCGCTGGCCCACATGGCTTCCCAGCCTTCTCTTTCTTGATGAGTTAGATTCATTGCTCATGGCCAAATGGACCATGATCTTTTCTTGTTTTTCTTCCTCGGTTACTGTTTGGCTCCGTGTATACCCTGCCAAACTGTTGGCATCAGATTCACTGTAGTTTCCATCCAGCATCATAGTTGTATGAGGTAGTCCACAAGAACATGAAAACTGAGGATACAAGCAAAAGAAAAACAAACAATAGTTCAACAGTGAAAGAAAATATGTGAGGCAAAGATAATACTTTTTTTATAGACAGCTTGTTAACTCCAGAATTACAGAGTATAGTTGGGCTATGAAAAGTTTCTCTATTAATGAAAACTGCCCATTTTTGGCTCAAGTTTTCCAACATGAGAAGATGCTAGCTCGCTTCATTGGTTGCAGCTTTTATACTGCATGGGGGTTTGTTTCTGAAAACCTATGAAGTAATGCAATAAAATCTTGAACAATAGGTAACAATGCCCACAGACAATTCATTAACCTAAAAATAAACCACTATGGTTTTCTTGGTTCTGGGTGTAGCCAAACTTTTTGGCCAAATGAAGCCAAAACCACTGTGGTATTCTTCCAACCTAAACTATAGCACAGTTATTCTAACTGGTTTGATGTGCATCAATACTGAGATTATTTTTAGAATACATTTTAACAAAAAAAAATCTGTTTTTAGAACCTGTTTTATACTTGGTTTGAAAGGAAATGTGACTGGAACCTCAGATTTTGGGGTGGTAAATAACTGCTGAAGAGTATCTGACGTAAATCATTTCCACAAAAGGCACAAATCCTCGATGTGTGATCTAGAAAATGTCCTTCATGACATTATGTGAAGAAAAGGCATCATGTGCTCACCTCCATGTGCAAGTAAACTATATTTGATTTATATTTAATCCCCACACAATGTATTTCAAGACGGTAGTAATCCTGACTCAGTCCTATCAGGCTTCTGAGATTACAGGGCCAGGATGCAGCAGTAAGTGGCAGGTGATATGGAGCACATCATATTTACCCAAACCCTGAATTTACGATTGCCCCTCCCCCCATAATTAGATTTGGTACATGGAAAATGTATACATTTATTATAATTTTCCATGTATGAAATCTAATTATTGAAGGATCATCTTAAAATCTGTCTGCCTCCACTACTGCGGGTGGTGGGGGGAGAGGTGGTGAGGGGGGCAGTAATGGGGCAGGCAGTGAGGGGCAGATAGTGGGGGAGGCAGTAGCGGGTATGTGGTAGGGCAGGCAGTGTGGAGGCAGTGGGGCATGCAGAAAGAGAGGCTGGCAGCTTACCCCTGCCTCCTGCCCCGCCCCACTTATTCCCATTGTGCCTGCCCCCGTACAGCCTCAAGCTGCCCCCAATCACCCTTCCCCTGCCCCAGCTTCCTCCTCCACAGGGGGATTACAGCAGAGGGAAATAGAGGGGGAGAAGAAGCACCAGGAAGAGACCAAGGGCTGTGGGGGAGGAATGGCTGGGTGTGCAGAGGCAGCAGGGGGCAGGCATCAGCCAGGGCTCCAGTTCCTGCCCCGACCTGTGCTCAATTGTAAGACAAGGGGCTTCCCCCCATGTTAAAAGTAGGGGGAAACCATGTCTTCCAATTAAGTAAATATGGTAATTGATTGCTTTGAAGCAATGGCTGAAGGATCCAAGAGGAAGAGCAAAAAATTCTAGTGATTTAGGTGCCTCTTAGTTCCTAGGTCAGGTTATGATTTGACTTCAGGAAAGGGCACAGATAGTGGGTATGGAAGGCATAACTCTGATGTGTTTTGTAGGCACTTTGTAGAACAGTCATCACTTAACCAGTAAGGTAGGGAATGAAAGAAGGTAGCCACAAGTTTAAATGGTTCCAGTCCCAAGAGTCCTTAGCCCATCCACATATGGGGTAGCTGAAGTGTAAATGTCTTTAAGCCATCATAGTGGCAGAGTCCATTTCTTAGCACAAAAATTTAGTCTGGAATTCATGGGTCTCTGGCTCTGGCCAATAACATCCAGATTACTCCAAGAGTCTCTTAAAGGCCCATTTCTACACTCAGACTCTAACCTAGATTTTTCTAGAGCCCCATTAGGCTGTTATACTTCTTATCTCTATTTCCTTTCACCATCATTCACAATTAACATCACTATACACTGGAAAGGTTATTGCTTTTCCATAAAATTGTAAAGGTGTTTCTTTTATTGTGTGATGATACAGTTCAGTGCTGTAGCACCAGAAACTGAGTATTGACTGGTGACATAAATAACAAGTTGTGCCATCACTGAGTTACCAGCTTGGGAAAACTCACACAGCTCTGGCACAAAACCCTTTTTACTCTTCTATCTGAGTGAGTATACATACATACAATCAAATATATAACAATGTTATATATACAAAATATATATAAAAATATAATATAGATATCTCATTAGGTTTACATTTTTTTTTTAACTTTTATGTATATTTTGTATCTATAAAATTGTTATATATTTGATTGTATGTATGTATATATAATCACTCAGATAGCAGAGTAAAAAGGTTTTTGTGCCAGAGCTGTGTGAGTTTTCCCAAGCTGGTATGTGTGTATATATAATGATTTTTTTTTTATTTTTTTTTTCACAAAAAATAAAATACTTGCTCTGGGTAACAGAATTTAGCAAGGCTGACTTTTTTTATTTACTACTTATTAAGCACAGGCAATGTGGTCAGATTTTTATAGGCCAGAGGGAGTCTATGCTCTCTGGAGCTCCTTGTCTAAGGAATACATACAAGTAAGACAAGATGCTGGGATACTTAGAGTAATGGACAGACCTACACGAAGCTTTGCATCTCTAAGTAGTTTTCCTGAACTCAAACTTGGGATGGAGAAGGCACTAGATGCGAGTAAGAACTGGCCATGGAAACAAGAAGTCTTCAGCTGGCATTTGAACAAGGAATGGGCTTTGAATTGGTATTTCAACCTGTTCCATGTACAGAGAGTAACATGGAAGAACGCAAATGGACAGCTTTGGGAAGGAATTATGTCATAGTCAGATCATAAGACAAGTCAGAGGTGATTGTTTCAGTGACAGAGGTTGAAGGTGACAGAGGTATAAACAACAAATATGTTCATATTTTGGAAACAGAGAGAGGAAAGTAGCATGCCTTGGTGACAGCCTGGATGTGTGGACAGGAGGCACTAAAGACTGTGCTGTATTCTTTGTTAGCCATTACGTGTAGTACTGTTTCTTTATATGTAGTAACTTTGTGTGCCTCCTGAGGCACTGTTTCTTTCTGTCTGGATCTCTCCCAGAACAATGAAGTGACCAGCAATATAAGTGGTGTGCTACTCTCCCTGTCCTTGGCTAGTCTAACATCCCCACCACAATGGAGCCAAGAGGTATAACAAAGATGACCCTGAGATTTCAGGCAAGCCTCAGCATCCAGAGGACAGTGGTTTGGTTAATGATCATGCAGAAGGCAATAAAGTTTCAGGGGAAAAATAAAAATCTCAACTTCAGCAAAGCACTGTGTAATATGGCAGTGCCTGGTACCATGGAACAGTTCTCCTATTAGATTTAATAAATGCAGTTTCTATAACGTACCTGATTTCCGTTTGGACTCTTTTAGTCATTCAATATAGTACAATAGCAGTAACTTAAAAAATATTGTATTAGCCATGGGGAAATATCAGACTAATTTTTCCCCTTCTTGACCTCCCCTTTGGTCTGGTCTCTAGTAAAGTCCCTAGTTGAAGACTTCCCTGTTTCTGATCTTACTGTTCAGTACTACACGTAATGGCTAACAAAGAATACAGCACAGTCTTTAGTGCCTCCTGTCCACACATCCAGGCTGTCACCAAGGCATGCTACTTTCCTCTCTCTGTTTCCAAAATATGAACATAAGTTTTCTTCTTACTGCTGTTTCTATAAGATCAACGAGGCTAATTCCTGTTTTGTGGTGTCAAGGCTTTAGTGTCATCTTGAGCATTGTAGACAATAATTACAGTAATTACACACACAGACAGAAAGGCGTTCCCATTTATATAATTTTAAAATATCCATTAAACACACATCTGGTATAACAAAAACGTCTCTCACCCTCTCTCTCAGCTTCCTCTCCTTCCGTTCTTGCACTGTAGTCAGATAGTTCACTGCTGCATATTCCAGCACTGATAGAAAGACGAACACAAAACTGACCCATAGGTAGATGTCCACAGCTTTGATGTAGGAAACACGGGGCATGGAGGCATTGACACCAGTGATGATGGTGGACATGGTCAGCACCGTGGTTATCCCTGAGGAAGAACCAGCAAAAAATTAATTTAATTGCAGGTCTAATAAAGAAAGCATTTTCTATAATGTCTGTCTGTAGATATCGTACCACCCTCCAGGGGTGGATCCAGGGTGGGTACACTGGTGTAATTGCACCCCCTTTGATTCCTGGTCTACCCAAAATTTAAAATGAACCGCCTGGCAGTAGCAGCAGCATTTTGAACCAGACAGTGCTGAGGGAGTCAACTGACTTCATGGATCATTATAATCTACCTCAACCCTTCTAAACGCCTTATTCCACAGGGCTACATACAGACAGTCAAAAAGCCTGAGGCTGAATCGATTCAGACATTGCAGGTTAGTCTAAACTGCAGAGATTAAATTGAGAACCAACTGGACACGCATTCACTTTTGATTCAGGAAATGCAGCCACATGCCTGCAGTGACTCAGGCCAGAAGCCAGGGGCCCCTAAAACAGAGCTCTCTGGGTCTTAGTCAGCATGGGCTGTACATTCCCTTCTTCTTCCAACTACCCCTGAGGTCTTTGGGATTTGCAGTACAGAATCACAGCAGCAGGACTCTGAAGGGTTACTCATCACTTCTTCTTCCTGCTTCCAGGTGCCTCTGGGATTTGTAGTCCACAGTTGCAGCCAGCAGTAATTTTCAGAAAGGTTAGCAGGGCAGGGCAGTGCAGCTCAATATTCAGGTGAAGGAGAGTTTAGCCGGGGAAGGGGGATTTAACCCCCTCTTCCCCCCGCTCTGGCCCCAGACCCCAGCTGGGGTATGCTGTGGGGTGAGGGCAGTCCCTGCCTTCTCCCCCACCCAACCCTTCTCTGCTAGAGCAGACAGCACAGCCCAGCCCAGGACTGAAAAGCATGCTAGGATGCTGGGGGACTCTAATTTAACATAAACCAGAAAGGGGATTGGGACAGAAGTTTCATAAACTGATTTGACCCAAATCAGTTAAGTCTGATACTACATTCAGCCAGGTTTATCTTAAACCAGTTTCAGCCATTTTGAAACTGGTTTATATGCATTGAACTTCTGTTCTGTTACAGGTTTAAACCAGTTTCTAATTACTTAAACCAGTTTATATGTAATGTCTGTCTCTAGCCCAGGTATTAACCCTCTCTTTTGGTCTTGATGTTCCAGCCATTGAGCTAGCCTTTGTTCTGTAATGATGCATCATACAATCTGCACTCCCTTTTTCAAAATTCAAGATCTGCTTATATCACCCTCTACTCTACCCCAGCATTTTTCAACCTGTGGGTTGTGACCCAAAAGTGGGTCGCAAGAATATATGAAAGGGTCATGAACAAACTTTGAAAATGGATACTCCTTTGAAGGAGAAAAACATGGGAAACTGGCTTTTCCCTTGCAGGCTGGAAGAGATCCAATCTGCAAGGGGCTGCTTGGGTCCCCCATGCCCCACACACCCACTTACCCCCTGCCCCTCACACTGGGGGCAGCAGGTTGGGAGTGAGAGGCACTGGGTCGAGACTGGCCATCGACGTTTACAAATGGGTCCTGGTACAAAAAAGGTTGAGAACCACTGCTCTAGCCCGTAATCCAGTGATTCTCATCCAGGGCGCTGATGCACCATGGGATGTGTTCAGATCCTTTGAAGGTCGCCTTGAGGTTTGAGGAGATAAGTAGGGTAAAAGAGATAAGCTGATACGGTAAGCAGATAAGTGCTGGCTCGGCCTTATCCCTCCCTGGATGATACCCTACCTGCACTGCCTAGCCTCTCTGCAAGGAAATAAGCATTGTAATATATAAAATAGTTTTGAAATTGGGTTGCTGCTTAATTGACAAAAGTTATGCAGGGATGCCTTGAATCCAGTGGGCAGTGTCTCAAGTCCAGGAAAGGTTGTGAATCACTGCCATAGATGATAGAAATAATTTACTGTCTAGCTGCTTGCCAATACAGGACTGGTCCATTTAATTGCATTCTTGTGCACACTGGCCAAGCAGGATTTCAAATGTGATGGGTAAGCTACTCCTTCCATTTGGATATTCTTTAACTCTTGGACACCTAATTTGGAAATGATGCTTGATCCCAGCCTACAAGGACTATTCTATAGGTTAAGGAAGTTGTTCATACTACTGAGTCAATTAGTCAGATTCTTCTGCTCTTTAGAAAGCCCCTAGTGATAAGGACTCTTGGTTCACTGAAACAATCAGTTTGTCATCTTACTAATCAAAAAGTGGTTAATGACTTGTTAACTGCTGAAGAGCATCTGATGTAAATAATTTCCACAAAAGGCACAAATCCTCCATGTATGATCTAGAAAATGTCTTGCATGACATGCTGTGATGAAAAAGCATCATGTGCTCTACCCATAATTATCTATGGCAACAATAAGAGCTGAAAAGTTTTAAATGGCAGCAATTGTGCTTATCCCATATATTTGACAGATAAGCATGTAAGCATGTACATGTTTTGTTTGGTTCTACAAACAGAGGTAAAATGCTCATAGTGAATTAGAATGAATCTCAATGTTTACATGTTTGCAAAAAGCCATCCAGCAGTTGAGTGCAGAGCCAGGGAGTATTATCTATGACTTTATTTAGATCATTCTAAATCAGTAAATATTGAAAATACATCCATTGTGTATCATTTCTTATCAGGATCTATTCTTTGTAAGTTCCATTTAAGAGCGTTTCCTTTCACTTGAGTGAGCTCTGTGTTGTCTCGTTATAGAGGCTTGTATCTGCATGTAGCTCTAACAAACCATAGTGCAAACAAAAGAAGCTCCAACTGTCCTGAATTAAACAGCCTCTTACGGTCAGATTGTTAAAGATGCAGATGCAAATAGACTCCTAGCAGGATTTAGGGACTATGAGCAAAAATTGTACCAGCCCCTTCAGTCAATTCAATTTACACTTAAAAATTAAACCTGGTCCAAGGAATATGAGTTAGAGAAACTGTGTTATAAAAAACAAAACGACTCTGGGAACAGAGTGGATCCCAGGATTCTCCCCTCCCAGGGGACTGCTGTAATCACTAGACTACAGACCTAGGTTTCCTTTTGCTTGTTCCCCTGGATCAATGAATCTTGGATCAACTGATGCACAGTGTCTCAGCCTCAACAGGAAGGGTGGAGTTTGCCCTCACATTAACTATATTCTGGTGGACAGATTATAGGACAGCCACCTGGGAAATGGGAAATGTGGGTTCTAGGCCCTCCTAAAAATATTGCCCTCCTTGACCTTAAATTTCAGGGCTGCAAGAGTGAGCCTGTAGCTAGAAATCTTGATTCTCTGGCTCAACAACACTAATATGTCTTTTCTCTGCTTGCTTCTTTTTTAAAAAAGAAAAAAAAAATTGTTCCCTCTTCTGCCCTGACTTTTAAAAGTAGATCAGGAGGATTTATCAATGATGTAAAGAATGAATTCAACAATGAACAACAAAACAAAATATCAACATCAAATTAATTTAATAATCAGATTGAATAGATATTTATTTTCCTAAAATCTTTAAACAACAGAATCAAATTCTCTGTCCCACCAAATATTCAAATTCAAGGAATGTATTATATTCTTGGTTTATGTAAATTCCTCTCACCCAATGACACTCTGGCAGGCACTGCTCTGCGATCAATCCAGAAGGACACCCAGGACAGCATGACCATCAGAGTGGCAGGGAAGTAGGTTTGGAGCAAGAAGAAGAAGATGTGGCGCCGCAATGTGAAGTTTATATACAGGCGATTGTACCACCCTTTTTTTTGAGGGGGAGGGGGAAACAAATGTCATTAAGAGCATCTTTTATGATTTGTAGAAGAGCAGCTATCTTTCTCAGCAATTCCTATATTTAAAGAGTAGACAATCCATAAATACGGTGAGCATGAACATGCTATATCCTACAGATCATTCACAATATAGGCTACACGTAAGAATGGTTATTATTCAGGCATATAACAGAAATTTCATTTAGATTTCACCTTGTTAGTGTTTGAAACTGAACTACTATACAGCCATGATACAAAGAATAATAAAAAAGTTTTTAAAAGACTGATACCAGTGCTACTGTAGAAAGCAAGTCTCGAGGTAGTATGGAACTTTTGTATCAAAAACTGAGACAAAGAAATCTTCTCATCGGTTTTTAGAGATTCATTCCCATTTTTCCAATACAGCATCAGATCTTCATCGGTGTACGCATCTTAGAAAAAGAAAAGACACTGGAGCTAGACTGTTCTCACTGGTGGTAGATGACAGAACAAGGAGCAATAGTCTCAAATTGCAGCAAGGGAAGTTTAGGTTAAATATTAGGAAAAACTCTCACAAGGAGGGTAGTAAAGCACTGGAACAAGTTATCCAGAGAGGTGGTGGAATCTCCATCCTCGGAGGTTTTTAAGACCCAGCTAGACAGAGCCTTGGCTGGGGATGATCTAGTTGGGGATGGTCCTGCTCTGAGCAGGGTGTTGGACTAGATGACCTCCCTGAGGCCCCTTCCAACACTAATTTTCTATGATTCTATGAGTCTATGAAATGGCTTTGGCTATTTTAACAACCAGTATAAAAAGTAATCCTGCCTGGATAAACGCTATGATAATGAAATTCATGAATGACTTTAGAACCCCATCCTGATTAGCTAGAGCAAGCTCAGGCCCAAAAAAGGGAAATACTGAGAGATCAGAGTAATAAGACAAAGAGCCCTAAAAAGGTTAGAAATGGGAATGGGAAACAACAAAACTGGAGTTGGTTGGAAAAATGCAGACTAATTTATCTGGGAAAAATTAATGGGTCTTTGAAGTGCAATAATGTCTGTCCTTCCCCTCACAGACCAGCAATGATAATGCACACTGGATTAACTAGAATCTTGACATGTCATGGACTATAGCAGCACAGAAAGCCAAAACAAAGCGTTATTTCATGGTATTTCTGGGAAATAATAGTTTCTCTTCATACAACACTGGTAAAATCAAAGGAGAATGATACATGTCTGGCTCCTACTGTATCAGAAAAGTGGAGACAAATTGGAGGGAGTTCTGAGAACAGCAGCAAAATTGACTGAGGGCTGGAAGTATACACATAATTATGAGGAAAACTGTAGGAATTAACTTGACCAAATTTAAAGGAAGGGTAAGCACAATTATCTAAAACATTATTAAAAAGATGTAACTGAGGGTAACAAATGTGATTAGAGATAACAGCATGTAAGTATTCAAAGAATATGAATGAGGAATTATTTAGTGAAATACATGAGTATAATTAGGGGTAATGGGATGAAATTTAACAGAAGAAAATGTAGGCTGAAACCTTGGGAAAAGCTCAGAACAACAGCCTACTAGGCTTGGGAATAGTCTGGCAAAGGCCATGCCATAAATTCTGATTAAGGCAATTAAGAATGAAAATAATTTTGTTTGCATGAGGAGTCCCACTGAGTTGAGCTGTGTTACCCAGGTTGAACTCACTGGGATGACTTGCATACTGTTGTGTTTACAAAATGAGGCCCATCTTTTGTAATGTACTTATTGTCTTTGGGCATAAAAAGTACCAGAGTTCAGGTATTTAATTAATATTATTCTAAATAATATTCTAAATATATGTTTTATCATATTATAAATAATGATATTATTGTTAAGGTTATAATTAAATTTCTCCTCCAGCATTAACTCCTCTCTGTTGTCACCCAGTCAGAGCCAAGCAACACAGCCAAACTTCTGAATTCTCCCTACACATCTGTGTAGGCCTCACCAAGCCATAAAGGAGCACTCAGTATTGATTCATTTTTAGGTTAAGGTGTAGGTGTCACACATTAACCTAAACAGGTGCAGAATCAACCTGTTACTAAAATGTCATGCACACACATATGCTGTCCTCCAAAAATAAGAACCAGATTCAACACCCATGGTGTCAAAGGGAAGCCTCTCAATCTGGGGACCAAGACACCACACATGTGCCACAAGTGGCACAGGCAGCTTCCGCGTGTGTCATCTGAGCTCCCAGCACTCAGTAAAGGGAGGTGCTCGAATGGAGGTCAGGAGGCTTGTGCACAGGTAGAACAGGACTGGTGAGAGAGGAGGTTTCAGGTGTCACCAGGTTAATCCTTTCCTGGTCCTACAGCCACTGACAAATTCAGGGCACTGGATGCTCACTCACCATGTAACACTGCAGCAGTTGCAGGGCCAGGGAAGGATTAACGTGGTTCTTGGCAGTGACACCTCTCTTCCAGCAGCATCCTGGCCCCACTCTGTTCCACACAGTCAGAGGCTATGGACCCCCTGCCTCCACTCCAGTGCCCCAGGTGGAAGCTCTATCAGGGTGCCTCTAGAAGCGAGGGGCCATAGTGACATTCGGGGAGGGAGCACAACTTAACTTGTAGCAAGCCTGCCAAAAGCTTTGGCCTGTTCTACTTAAATGTATTCTTTTTTTTTATTCTGAAAAAGAGTGCTTAGCCTGAGCATGGAGAGTCAGCAAAGAAAGAATTAATAGACATGAACTTGGGTGCAACATACAGCTTTCCAGCTCCAAAGAACAAGTCTGAGTGTCCAGGGGAAATCGGCTGAAGTCCATGTTGCACATTGCTGTGACAGTGATCCTAGAAATCAAAAAAGGAACAGTTACTTGGAGAAGCAGTAGTTCTTACATTCTACAGAGTGTGCGGGAAATGTGTGACACCAGCACCGCATAGTAGAGCTGTGCGATGCTTTGGTAGCCGCTCCAATTCAGAGGAGATTCAGACCGATTCGGCGGCCAAATCTCTGAACCCAAATTGAATTGGGAGACCAATTAAAAGGCCTGAATCCAATTGGAAGCCTCTGAATCAATTCAGAAAAGATTTGGTGCCGCTTCGGCGATTTGGCCATAGACTAGGCAGGCAGCAGTCCCCGACCATTCTGGACACAGCTGCCTCCAGCTGGTAAGTCTGTTGTGGTGGGCAGAGGGGGCAGGGAAGGGGCATGGGGGGATAGATCAATGCCCCCATAGCGAGGGAGGGACTGGGGCTGGAACAAGCTGCCCAGATGAAACAGGGGGCCACGGGCAGGGCCGTCCCTGAGGGGGGCAAATCAGGGTGACCGCCCCATGCCCTGCACTTTGGGGGGCACCGTGGAGCCAAGCAGAGTGGCTGCAGCAACTCCACACTGCTGGTGGCTTCACGTCCAGCTGCTCAGCACCACCCCCTGGCTGCCAAATCTGGCACCTCCAGCTGCTCAGCACCCACCTCCCTGCTGTTGAATCCACTGTCGGCATCCTCATGTCCTGGGGCGGGGCCCCGCACAGGCTGATTTGCCCTGGCCCCGCACCCTGCTTGGGTTGCCTCTGGTAGCAGGACTCAAGGAGAGCGGTGGGGGGCACAGGATGCAAGCACGGCAGTGCTGGGAGCAGGGGCTATGCCCTGCTGCCACTTGCCCCCGTCTGCCCGGAGCAAGCCCCGCCTGCATCTCACCCCACCCTGGCTGGACAAGCGGCAGCAAGGCAGAGCCCCTGCTCCCAGTGCTGCTACGCTTGCATCCCGCACCCCCCTGCTCTGGGTGTGCAAACAGTGGCAGGGCATAGCCCACTGCTTGCCCATCTAGGGCAGGGGGGGTGTGGAGTACAGATGCTGCTGCCGCTTGCCCAGTCAGGGCAGAGGGGCATGGGATGCAAGGGCAGCAGCACTGTGAGCGGGGGCTCTGCCCTGCTGTTGCTTGCCCAGCTGGGGCTGGGGGGGGGCACAATGCAGGCGCGGCTGACTCTGGGCGGAAGGGAGCAAGCAGCAGCAGGGCATAGCCCCCACTCCCACCACTGCTGTGCCTGCATCCCATGCCCCTGCAACCTCCTCCCTGAGTCCCACAACTGGGCAGCTTTTCCCAGCCCCAATCCCTCCCTCACTGTGGGGGCGTTGATCTGCCCCCCACACACACCCCTCCCCTGCCCCCTCTGCCCACCACAACAGATTTACCAGCTGGAGGCAGCTGTGTCCAGCATGGTGAGGACTTCTGCCTGTTTAGTCTATGGCCGAACCTCCGAAGTGGCACCAGATCTTCAGATCCAATTCAGCCGAATTGAATCAGGACAATGATTCAAATCTCCGAATTGGCCAAATCCGAATCCAAAGCAAATACTTGCCGCTTCGCAGATGCCTACTGCATAGATGTAGACAACATCTGTTGACTTTAAAATAAGCAATTATGTATAGCATTAGCATTAAGGCCCCTAGAATATTCCTAGTCAGCTCAGAGGCTCAGCTTCTCAGAACTGGACAAAGTGCACCATGCCCAAGGCTGTGATGCAGCAAATCTGGTTGTATACCACGTCTGTGCTCTCCTGACCCCCATGGTCATTTTCATAGCTTCATAGATGTTAGGGGCTGGAAGGAAACTGACAAATCATTGCGTCAGCCCCCCTGCACTTGGGCAGGAAAGACTGCTGGGATCAGATGAGGAGAGTGCGTTCCATGGCACATGGCTGGATAGCTGCAGGTCACCTTCATTGTCAGTTGACATCTCCTTAGTTAATGCTAACAATAATAATAATAGTTTGATTATCTTACAGGGTATTACAATAAATTTTTTCCTTATGGTTATGTTATCATCTTAAAAGTGACTTCCCTGGAATGGTGTTTTAGACTTCCTTATGTCCAGCTTTGATGTAGACTTTGTGCTTTTCTCATTTCCCATCACTCAATCCCTGTTACTGCAAGAAGCCAATCTGGGCTTCTAATGCACAAATGACCAATACAGTAAGCAAGAACTCCCTCTCTCACACTCACTTCGATTTATATAATGGTAGGTCAGAGGTACTCTTTCAGTAAATGATGAAACTTATTTAAGTCTGAGGGCTATTTATTATGGTAGAGAGAAAGATATTTATTCAGGACCAAATCTTTGCCTCTCCTAAATTTGCATCTCAGCAATGGATATGTAACAACCCCAGGTTGAGTTTACAAATCTGAATCTAATCTGCCATAATATTATGTAACAAGTTTCCTGTCAGGAGGCTTTTTTTCCTGTTAAATGGTTTGAAATGAGCTTCAGCTTTAGTGGTGACAAAGTCAATAGTTCTCAGTCATCACTTCGAAGTCAATAGTCCTGTTTACACAGCTTGTGACCAGTTTCATGGTTCATTTCAGACGTTGATAAAGACCTTTCCACTGCTCAAAGGACTGAGGGGCAAAATCTGCCCTGATATATATGTCAGTCATCCTAGTTAAATGCTGCATACCTTGATGTCATTATAATATGCCATTTTCTTTCCTCAAGGTCACTTAGATTATATCAAAGCCTGCAGTCATTAAAAATTCATTAGTTAGGGAAAGCACAGTAACTCAACCTGTCAATAAGATATGCCCTCAATTAATATACAGTGTTGACTAAGTGGCCTTCAATTCATAAAACACAAATAAAAGAATGAAATGTAACAGAATGTAATTCAGTAACTTTGTTTATATCTATACTGCCAAAATGCCCCCAGAGAGCACATGCACAGAGCCAAGGCATGCATTTACTTAGTCTTTACCTTGTACTTGACAGTATCATTAAGAAAAATAAATCAATGGGTCCAGTTATTTAATCCACTATATACTGAAGCTGATGGACAATAGTTCCCAAGAAAAATACTTGTTTTCCAAAACAAATGTATAATATATCTGCACTATTATCGATCTCTCTCTGCTGTAATATCTGAGCATCTCATAGTCTTTAATGTATTTATCTTTGCTACTCCCTTGCACAGGAAATTGCTGTTTTCTACATTTTACAAATAGAGAATGCAGGCATTAGATAATTAGATCCATAAGAGTCAGAGGTGTTGCCTAACTTTTAGGCAATTTGGCCCAGATATGCAAAAGAACATACTCATCTTAAGTGGACTTTAGGCAGAATTTAGGACCTAAATCCAAGAATGCAGTCCACAAAATCCCCACCTCACCTATTAGACACCTTAGGGCAAGATTCAAGAAGGATTTATGTATTCTGCTTACACAGCTGGGTATAAAGTTTCCTATACATTAAATGGGAATAGTTAAATGCCTAGGGTTGGGATATATTACATTCACCTAACAGTGCAGAGAGGTGCAAGTCTTTCCTGCATTTAGATGCCAACCTGCAGTCCTCAGCTAGATGTGATACTGAGATTCACAACCCAATAATCTATACCTAGAGAGATGTGCAAGTCTCCTTTCATGTACATTTGCTTATCTCACCCCTTTCTTTTAAAACCCAGTCCGTGGCAAGGTAAGGCAAAGGACTTCTGAAAAACTTTCAGCTCTTACTTGCCTCAAAGGTGTTTTTCCTAAGCTATACATCCCATCTTTTTTCTTTTGAAGGAACCAAAAATCCCTGACAAACGGTTGGGATGTTCCTTAGAATTCTTTCAGCCAGTAATCTGCTTGGGAATCAACTGCAATAGTGCATCTTTTAGCAGCCACTTCCATCTCTGTAAACTGGTGAAATCTCAGAATAAGTTGGTCTATGAGTAGGATGACCTTATGTCTGGCTGGGATATTCCCGGATTCTGTAGGCTGGTCCCAGCCGGTGGATTAAAAGTCACTGGCTAAAGTCTGGCGGGGAGGCAAAGCATCATGATGCACCAGGCAGGCACCGCTGCTTCTGTGCGGGAGCAAGGCGGGCAGACTGGAGCAGGCGCCACTCACCTGCACATGGCACACCCTTGCTACTGCACAGCCACCTGCCTGGTGCACCGCTCTGCTCTGTTCTCCGCAGACTCCAGCCCAGGGCCTTTTGATCAACTGGCTGGGACCAGCCTATGGAATCCAGGAGTATCCCAGCCAAACTGGGACATATGGTCACCCTATCTATGAGGTACCATTCTGCCCTACTTTCTGCCTAACTTCAGCCTAACACAGCTAACTACTTCTTCCTGGTTAAATCTGGATGCTGACATGCAAACTCTCACAGAAAGTAACAGATTACTTAGGCAAATATGAGGCAAAAAAAGGACATTTCTAGAGATCACCAGCTGCTGCACCATGGCTTCTAATTTAATTACAGATTGACCAAGAGACAAGTATTCCTGATCCACTATCCCTTCCTTTGCTATTGAGGGTTAGAAGGGTGGTTTCTTTGAGAGTGGATTATTTTATAGCTGCCTAGTATTACTTTCTAGCAACTTCTTTTCAAGCATCTGGTACTGGCTGGTATTGGTTCAGATTAATAAACTAAAAGGACCACTAGCCTGATCCTGTATGACAGTTCTTTTGGTCACTAAATGTGAGTTATAACAGAGTGTTCGCAGACAGCTGAATTTTTGTCTTTACCTCATGCTATAAAGCACATGACCATCCGGGAACACTCGCAGCATGATGTTGTCAGTAGTTGTGTCATGAATGAATGATCTTTTGGAGTGAACAAAGAAAACATCTGGAACCCAGATCTTCTTAACCAGTCTGCCATCAAAAGTCATGCTTTTGTTAGTGGTGCTGGGAAATGACAGGCGTTCATCCTTCCAGTAGTGTCTTAAGTATAGAGTCATAGTAAAATCCTGCATTAGAAGAAAAGAGAACTGTGAAGAAATGTGTCACAACGATGACTTTGATATCTGAGAGCCATAAGAAAGAGAACAGAAAGACATCCCAACCCTCTTTATCCCCTGCTCCCTCTTAAATACATTACTCAGCTTCTGAATTTTTGTGTATTCTCCTCTGTTCTCTGAAGTATCGGATAGTGGCCAGAACTGAAGGTGAGAGATCAATTACGGTGTCCAGGTGCTTGTAGCGATACTGAGAAAACCCTTAGGTGCCTTGCAGTGTGTTTTGTTCATGGTCTCTGGGTTAAAGCGATCACAAGATTTGGGGTCAGGAAGGAATTCTTCTCCCAGGTCAAATTGGAAAAGACCTTTGGGGGTTTTTTTTCCTATTTTCCTCTGTAGCACTGGGCATGATCCACTTCTTGGGACCATTCTGGCATATTGTACCTAACAGATTCCCTGACACCGCAGGGACCTAGAGAAGGGGTCGGTAATATTTTCCACTGGGGGGCCAGAATGACTCAGCTTGGGTCAGAGGTGGGCAAGCACTACAACCCGGCTGCCACCACCGCTCTTCGCCATGACCCAGCTGCAGTGTGGCATAGCAAAAGTCCCCTCTCTGCCCATGTCCCAGGTGCCCAACTGCAGCATGGTGTGGGGAAGAGCCCCCATCACTGAATGCTGCCAAAGCTATGGCTGAACAGGCTGGGTCCAGAGACTTCATAGGCCAGATCATTGGTTATAGTGCCCTTGTGTCTCTTGCTCACTTCTTATGGCACATTGCAGATTTTTGAGGTTCTGTTTCTGTTTTGTTTTTCTTGGGGGGGAATAAAGAACCTAAGTTTGTCATGGGGCATTAAGAGGTGCTTTATGGCTGGGATATGCAAAAACCCTGTTCTTGTAGACCCTTTTGGATAAAAATATGATATGCAAAAGGCCTGTTCTTGTAGACCCTTTTGGATAAAAATATATGACATGGTTGCCAGCAATCACAGGGAATTGGATTCAGTGACTCGGTCCTTTTCAGTCGTACATTTGTGGAATAATCTGTTGCTATATAATAATGTCACTCAGATAGATTAAATTTATTCCCTTTCAAGCACATTTTTCTTCCCTGGACTAATACTACCAAAAGAACAGTTTCCAGCAGAAGTGAAGCATTCTGGGAAAATCCACCACCCATGCATTTCATATGTTAGATTAAAAAGTAGGATAGAGAGAGAAGATATCCATATATTCCCACCAGAAAGTTGTTAATACACTATTCTAGGCTTGTTGCAGGTATTTCTTAGAAGGCATCAATGATACAGGACACTGAAGATCAGTTGTAGGAGAAAAGTAAATGCTTGCCAGTCTACCCACTGCATTAGAAAATGCTTTCTGGATCCTGACAATGTAATATTAAAGGGAAATGGACATTCAGTGTACATAAAAAAGCAAAAATCTGATTCCAAGTAGTTAAATTATGAGTCTAAACATTGAGCAAGTTATCCTAAAGAAAGAACCAAATTATTGTCAATATTAACAGAATGGGGGGACTGTTATCCTTATTATACAAGTAAATAAATAAAAATTCCATTTTAAGCTGGTTGGGAGGAAAAAAACCAAACCCTGCAGCAGCATGAAGAAAAACATCTGTTTCTGCTGTTGACCTCAACCTATCAGCTGCAGCTTTCAAAGCTGAATAACCATTTCGAGCTTAGAGATAAAATACACATTTGTATTTATGCTCCCAATTAAGCAAGATGCTACGAAAGTAATTTCAAAAGCCTTGTCTGCCAGGTCTTGGACAAGAGCAGTGCACGCTAGGTTTTTGTTCCTAATAGGTTATCACTAGTTCAAAACCCTACAAAGGGCTTGTTTCTACTTGCAGAATGGTAAAGCTGATCACCTGTAGAGCCACTCAGATGTTCTGCTGCTCAAGATGGTAGGTTTACCATGGAGATATGACCTCATAGAAACTTCTTGTATTTAAGCCATAAACACTGTAGAATTCAAATTTTAAGTTAAACCCTTGTCTTTAACTTTGTAGATTATACCTAGACACTGCACTGCATGGTGCATAAGAGGAACAGTGAGGAAGCGGCTTAAGGAAGAGTAGAGATAAGAAGATGCTTCTCTTTTTTCCTCCTCATTCATCCATTTCTTCCTGCCAGTTTTGCTTCCTGTGTTTCTCACTCATGTAAACTCATGTTTACTAACTAAAGGAGGCTGACTTGGCATCTCACTCACATACACATACCCCCTTTGTAGCCAGCAGCACTTTGAAAATTGTTGCTAATTGATATTTGGATCCACCTTCTTTCTTTTTCTTAAAGACAAAATACAACAACAACAACTATTAGTTGCAATTGAGTTCAGCACCAATATATATTTCTGGAGTGGCAGCACTGCTGACTGAAACCCAATTATCACCAGTGCAAACTCAGCACTGGAAAAGGCAGCTCATGCTTGCCCTCAGTGCCCCAGCCATGTGCATTTGAACTGGAATAGAGATGAAATAGTGGAATACAACTTTTTTAGCTTATATCATCAACTAGTTCTTCTAAAATTCCTCATAAATTCACATATTTAAGAACAGACTTTCTGGCTCCATAAAAAAAGGAGAAAGTAAATAGGACTTTCTTGAATCTCACAATATTTTTTTTCAGCCATCTAAAGTAAACTGATATGAATTCTTCTATGGAGCATAATGAAAAGAACACTTCAGGCAACTGTTTATATTTTTGCTTGCTACTTATACTGCATATATCACTCTTGTTTTCTTTCAAAGTCCTTTTTTCCCCTTTACAGTTCTTGTCTTCTTTACTTGTAGGTTAAATAGTGACCGTTTGAACAATGCACATCTTTATTAAGTCTCTAGCTCTGATTACATGCCTTTCAAACTTGCAGCATTTGCCTTCACCTGGAAGATAAACTGAAACCTAAATATGTGATTTTCTCCGAGTAGGAATAATGGAGGCTTAAAGAAAGTATTACATACCATATCGACCTCAGAAATACTGTCCAAGCTTTCAACCTGTACATCCACCCCAACTGGAATTGCAGGGCCTGTGATAGAATGAGATTTAGACATGTAAATACTGTCCCTTTATATCATCTAACTTCAGTTAGTTTCATAAAATAGTGTGCAAAACATTTTTTAGCCTATATTGTATTTTTTGGTACTTCAGGGTCTATGGAGAGGCAGACTGTGAGCAATGAGCCAAACATCCCTCTAAACACTAAATCTGCTTCTTGTTTCCATGCCCCAAGCAGGGATGCTATGAGCCAAATCCTATTCCACTAATTTGTTGCCTAAGTGTGATTTTATTCTACCCTGCTTCACTCTCTGAAAATCATGAATGTAAAGGTGGTGGGTCTCTTCCCCATCACTGCTTTTGGTGATTCAGTCTCAAGGTAAAGATAAGAGGACAATATAAAAGTAAACAAGATAGCAGTTTTGTAGGGGCTCAGGCTGGGTGGAAAAGTATCACACTTGGACACAATTATGAGTGGCTTTAGAACTGGCTCCATCATCCATAGCCTTAGTGAAGCACTTTAGAAAGATTCCCAGCAGAACCAGTCCATTCCAAATCATAGCTCTTTATGTTGAAATCCAACCCAAAAAACAAGAGCATAATAAGGAGAAACCATAGTCGCTGTGATCTCACTGAGTTTTTCATTCCCTTTGTTATCAGCAATGAGACAAGCTCTATTAACCTTTTCTGAATCTTTGGGAACTCTTCATCATTTTCTTTCAAATGGCCACATTTTCTTTGCCTGTCACCCAATGATCATTTGGAGATTATTAAAAAAGAATCAATGATTTTTCAAAGGAATTCTAAAGCAAATGGTCAGATAATCCACAAAGAGCAAATAAGCAGATATCACTCCATCACTAAATCAAACGCTGGTGTTATTAGACACTATTTATCCCAGTATCACAGTGGGCAATTGCTTACATGAAGTAAATCCCATTTAGGCTCTATTTTACACCTTATACTTTCATAGATTTTTTTTTCCTCTGTCTTCTCTTCTTGTTCCTTTTTTCACTGTGGATAATCTCCTCTATCTACCAATTCTCTCCCTTTCTCATGCAAATCAGAAGAGTTCCAACCAGAAGGACTGAGAAAGTCCCACTCCAGGGCCCCAGGAGATTAGAAACATCAAAATTCATCAGTCACAGGAGGAAATTTAAACAAGTCTCCCACACCCTGGCTGGATGCTCTAAACACTGGGATTAGGAAAGAAAATCATCACCTCTTTTTCTCCTCCAGCAAACTTGTTGTTATGCAGGACCTTTGAGAACACTTACTGGATTGAGACCTGCAGGCCAGATAGCTAAATCCTCAGTAGAGTTTAGGCATGAATGAGTGGGAGTTGGGGTTGGACTACTCTGCGACAGTCTACGCTGGATGCGGCAGTGGCGGGTCCCTGAAAAAAATGAGATTGTGCATATCTCACCTGTCCTTCATCTACCCACTACTCCCTGACACTCCGAACCAGAATTTGACTATCAAGAATGCTCTGGATGTTGGAGACTGAGAGCACAAAAGTGGGTCCAAAGGGATAAGCCCAGAGTGATTCACCAACAAACATATTTCTGGGTCTGAATCATGCCTGCAGAGGGAGGTGGGCAAGCTGTGCTTGACACTTTTTGCACCAGAACTAATTGCCACCATGGTATAGACCAGTGGTTCTCAACCTTGTTAGACTCAAGGCACACCTTGGAAATGTCAGCTCTTATCTTGCACTCATTTTTTGACCACAGAAAAATAAAATCAATTCTTCTGTTGCAAAGAATGCAGAAAGACCACAGCATGGCAGAATGGGTTTGACAGAACAGATTCCTATTTGAAATCTTTGGGTTTATCTGGTGAATCGTATGTAACAACCTGCAGGTTCCTTGGAACACAAGTTGTAACAGGGATGATCCAGAGGCTGACGCCAGGAAGCTCAATGTAGTTGAAGAATTTCACAATAGCTCTGAGCATAGGCTGTACTGCACGGCTGCAGAGCACACAGCTCTTCTGATAAAGATCCAAGTTCTTGAAGTCCAAATGGAGTCCCTTTATTATTGCACACAGCACTGTGCATGAGACAGTGGATGAGAACCACAGCTAAGAATGTGTGATTTAAAGCATCACCCACAGAGCAAAGAGAACAGACAAAATGAAGGGACTCAGCCCCCCTGCACATTTGGATCTCCAGTCAAAGAAACTGGCAGCAATAGAAGGAAGAGCTGATCCTGAATACATAGCAGACAAGGATGAGAAAATGAAGGTAAACTTTTTCTATTACCTCACTGAGACAAAGGACAGAGAAATGAATGGAACACCTTTACCTGAGGGGTCAAACACATTAGAGCAGCTGATGAAGGCTTTTTATATGTACTTTGACCCCAGAAGAAAGGAGACTGAGGAAAGATAGTTTTGTTTTGTTTTTTAACCCAGAATCAGGATCCAGAACAAGAAAGAGATCATTATATTACAGGGCTGATAATACTGGCATCCACATGTGATTTTGGGAACCTAACAGACTCCCTTATTAGAGAGAAAAGTATTTATGGGACATCTGATCCTAAGCTAAGGGATTTTTGAGAGCAGCTAATCTGATTCTGGAAAAATGTATCCAAATTTCACAAGCAGCTGAATCTTCAAACAATTGCTGGTGTGGAACAAATACACAGGGACAATTTAAAGGGACCCAGGAGGCCGAACAAAGATAGGCCACTGGGAATGCAGTCCCCAGGCTCCAGTGCTGGTACTGTGGGATGCAGCATGCTTGAAAAGAAGGGGAAGTGCTCTGCTTATGGGAAAAGATGCCTGGGCTATCAGAAACAGAACCATTTTGTGTCTCAGTGCCACAACAATCCCAAAAGAAATAAAGCCACAATACATTCAGGAGGGGAGGACAATTACATTTTTGATAAGGAAGATGAGGTCTTCTCTATGACTTAAGCAGATCCAAATACTCTGAACATACATGCACTACAGAAGACAGCCACTAAGCAATCCTCTGCTATATCTGCAGCTATGTTAATATGGAGCAACAACCAGTACAATTTCAACTCAATTGTGGAGCCAGCTGCAATGTAATTCCTGCAAAACTACTCATCAGTAATATCAGATTGGAGACATGTGAGCAGATACTGGTGATGTACAGTAAAACAACTATATAAGCAGTGGGTAAATGCAGACCATCAATACAAAATCCATGGAACAGAAAACAAAATCACCTGGAATTCATAGTGGTCAACACTGAAGAATGCCATCCACTGTTAGGCAGTGAATTAGTGCAAACCATAGACCTGATCTCAGTGCAACACCATAATATCCTTCACATGAGACAAGAGGGAGGAAGCACAAATGGTCCCTGGCAGATGTTTTTCAGGAGTAGAAAGATGTATTTCAGGGAGACAGACACCCAGAGGAAAAGCTCAAGTTAGAAATAGGCCCACAAATACAGCCTATGTTCTGGCAGTCTTACAGAGTACCACTAGCCCTGATGGAGCCACTCAAAGAGGAACTAACAAGCCTAACAAGAAGGGGCATTATCAAACCAGTGAAAATGAGCACCAGTGAAAATCAGCAGCTTGGCAGTGATAAGAAAACCATCTGGAGAACTGAGGATCTGGATTGATCCAAAAACCTCTGAACAGGGCATTGAAAAGAAGCTATTATCCATTGCCCACTCTCAAAGACATACTGCCTGAACTATCGAGGGTAAAAGTGTTCATGGTTTATGGTGTAAAAAAAATGGGTTCTGGCATATTGAGCTAGATGCATCCTGACTTCAAACTTATGGGCAGGATCCTTTGGAAAGCCAGTCTGATGGGGAGAGGAGTCCAGGAGAGCTGGCTGTACTTTAAATAAACCTTACTGAGAGTGCAGGAACAAACCATCCTGATGCACAGGAAAACTAGCAAGTATGGCAGGAGACCAGCCTGGCTAAGCAGGGAACTCTTCAGTAAAGTAAATCACAAAAGGGAAGCTTATAAGAAATGGAAACTTGGACAAACAACTAGGGAGGAGCATAAGAGTATTGCTCGGGCATGCAGGGTTGAAGTCAGGAAGGCCAAAGCACAATTCAGGTTGCAGTTAGCAAGGGATGTGAAGGTTAACAAGAAGGGCTTCTACAAGTATGTCAGTAACAAGGTGAAGATGAGGGAAAATGTGGTTCCCACACTGAATGGGGGAGGCAACTTTGTGACAGAGGATGCAGAAAAGGCTGAAGTGCTCAGTGCCTTTTTTGCCTCAGTCTCAGCTCCCAGACTACTGCACCAGGCAGCACAGTTTGGGAAGGAAGTGAGCAACAGTGGCGAAAGAACAGGTTAGGGACTATTTAGAAAAGCTGGACATATACAAGTCCATGGGGCTGGATGGGATGCACCTGAGGTTGCAGAGGGAGTTGGCTGATGAGACTGCACAGCCACTGACCATCATCTTTAAAAATTCATGGTAATTGGGAGAGGGCCCAGATGATTGGAAAAGGGCAAATGTCCACATTTAAGAAAGGGAAAAAGGAGGCTCCAGGGAACTAAAGTCCAGCCAGTCTCACCTCAGTCCCTGGAAAAATCATGGAGCAGATGCTCAAGGAATCCATTTCTAAGCACTTGGAGGAAGAGAAGGGGGTTAGGAACAGACAGCATGGATAAGTCACAAAGGGTAAGTTATGCCTGACCAACCTGATTGCCTTCTATGATGAGATGACTGGGTCTGTGGATGTGGGAAAACAAGTGGATGTGGTATACTTGATTTTAGCAAGGCTTTGATGCAGTTTTCCACAACATTCTTGCAGGCAAGCCAAGGAATTCTGGGCTGGATGAATGGACTGTAAGGTAGATAGAAAACTGGCATCAAGTGGAGTGCCCCAGGGGTCAGTCCTGGGCCCAGTTGTGTTCAATGTTTTCATCAACGACCTGGAAGATGGCATACAGTGCACCCTCAGCAAGTCTGTGGATGACTCCAAGCTTTGGGGAGTAGTAGATATGCTGGAGGGTAGGGCTAGGATTCAGTGACCTAGACAAATTGGAGGATTGGGCCAAAAGGAATCTCATGAGGTTCAAC